AACTTGCCTAATAATTCTGCACTCCCTGTATAAAGTCCACACTTTGTCTGTCAGTTGTTCCGTTTGTCCTGCAGATTTTCTGTATGCAGAGACCGCGCCAGCAGTGCGCAATTGCACATGTGCGCAGCTTAGAGGGAACATTGGTCACAGGCCCAGCCCCCTGACAGTGTTGGCATTATTTATAAAATGATAATGCTATATGGTGATTCCAAATGTCTCATAGTGATGTCACATTTGACCTGGGTGGGCGATTCTTCTTAAAAGGGGCCACATGACAAACCTGAGTTGCGTTGAAAGTGAGGTTTGCAGTATATTAACAGGGATTACTGATTTCTAGTTCATTTTAACTGTTCAGTGATAATAATCCAGTCTGTCTCAGGCGTGAACAAGGGCTCTAAAATCTGGTTGAAGGTCCCACCCGATGGTTGCTGGCATAGAATCCAGCCCCTTCTTTAAGGTTTTCAAAGACATTTCATCCAGGAAGCTTGTTCAGTTCAAAACTAAAAGGTGGAGAGTCCCAGGCCCAGACTTCAGTCCCAGACTGAAGAAGTATCTGTCTTCAACAAATGAAAGAAGTCCAGTCGCGTCCTTTCCAAGCTCCATACATTCACACTGTCATCTTTGCCCTCAGCAAACAGACAAAGTTGTCACGTCTCCATTGTGTGCTGTGAATAAATAAAGCTTTGGACATACTAACCATGAACATCATTACAGCCACACACAGAGACAGCACACTCATAGAGAAAAGCAGCCATCTTTGAATGCAAACAGGTGAGTCTGCAGATGGATGAGAGAAAAAGATGACTGAAGAAGAAAATGCATCATGGGAATCCCCGGCAGCCTATACCTACTGCAGCATGACCAAGGATTCAGGGTCACCTGGTCCAGCCCTAACTATATGCTTTAGCAAAAAGGAAAGTTTGAAGCCTAATCTTGAAAGTAGAGATAGTGTCTGTCTTAGCTGTAGAACAATATCAGAAGAACATGAAGCTCCAACTTCATGGTTCTGAGCTAAGCTGAAAAAGTGCTCAGTAACCAAGATTAGAAAACTGACCTCGGACCCTGTCTCAGCAGGATCTGGACCCGAGGTAGAGACCGTTTGTGTGTGAAAGGCTCTAATAACAGGTTGTCAGCTTGGGTGTACTTTTAGCCTGATCTTTGGACACAAACCGCTTGGAAGCCTCTGACCTGAAGTCAGCTGAAGGTTTGTGGTGGCATGTCTGGATGTGAACGCTCGTGCCTCAGGTAAGAGCTCGGTATAATAAGAAAACCACAACCTGTCAGCAGACGATTACCTGATGAGACTGTAAACACAGCCAACGCGCTGACTCAGCAGCGCTTCATTCATTCATCAGGAATGTTTGTGATGATGCTTCAGATGTTCATAAACTAAAATAGATACAAGGTCATTGTTGCAGAGCCAAAACCTGCTGTCACTGATTGTGACCTGGAGCCAGTTCATCACACAGGGTTCAGTCCCAGAGAAGCTCAGCGAGGGCGTGAAATCCATAGACGTTCAATTCATCTCTCGAAATAAGACACACAACTACAACATGGGAAAAGACCCAGGGAAACCCTGAAAGCCATAAATTTCACACCCGAGCCTCAACTCTGATGTCAGAGGAGGCTGAGGGATGATGTGACTGAGTAGGTGGAGATACTGTGTCACTTCGCCCTCTGCATATCCTCCTTCACTAGATCCATCAACCTCCTCTGAGGTCTTCCACCTGTCCTCCTGTCTGGCAGCCCCATCTTCATCCTTTTTCCAGTAAATCCACTCTCCCTCTCCCTCGTCTGCACATGTGCAAACCATGTCAGCCTTTCTAACTTTGTCTCCAAGCCATCCATCACAGCGGATCACACCTCTGTCTTTAAACCTTCCTCTCACTCTAGTCACAAAAGGTTAAAAATCAGCTTGCTCACCATCAGCTTCACCTGAAAGCTCCAGTCAAAGCTCACAACAGTTTCACTGGAAACATCTCAGATGATACTTCTGCTTCTGATGTCATTACTGTTACTAATACCAAAATTACTTCTGCTCATAATCAGTAAAGTGATCCTGATCTTTGGATATGAGCCGATCAGTGTGATGGCAGTTACAGTGGGGCAAAAAAGTATTTAGTCAGCCACCGATTGTGCAAGTTCCCCCACCTAAAATGATGACAGAGGTCAGTAATTTGCACCAGAGGTACACTTC